TTTTTTTTTTTTTTTTTTGGTACCAGGGATCAAACTTAGGTTCTTGCACTTGCAAGGCAGGCTGTCAGCACCACTGAGCTAAATCCCTGGCCCTTCTATTCAACCACTTCTGACCGCAAAAGCATCACAGTGATGCTGAGCAACCAGGAGCTCTCAGAAATGTCAGGAAGCTACTGTGCCTTCAGCCAGGGGCAAAGAATGATTTCCACAAATCCCGAGAGAGCCCAGGTCCAGGCCATGGGTAAACACCTGGCTGCTGACGGAGGCTCCCTGGACCTGGCCCAGTGTCTGGACACCACGCTGGCCGAAGGCAGCTGACAATGCACATTAAGGAGACTCCCACCCAGTCTTGAACATGGCACAGTGGATGAGGCCGGACTTCAGGAACTTGCTGGCGGTGCTGGCAGAACACCGGGCACCACAGCCATGTCCTGAGGGCCTGGGCCCTGGCAGACCCCAACCCACAGGCACGGACCAGGGATGGGGTGGATGAGGCAGGTGGGATGGGGAGCCCCGTGCCCGCCACTCGGCCCCAGCTGGGGCTCCACGTTGAGGCACCCTGCTCCCCACCAGGCCTGCGACGCAAGTGTAGCACAGGACTCCTACCCCAGACGGGATCCTGGGTACAGGGGTGGAAAAAAAATCACTGTGAAGGGGCAGAGTCAGCAAAGGCAGGGAGGATGGCTGTTACCTCCCTGGGCGGGGTTAGTGAGGAGAGAAGAGCGTGTAGTTAAATGAACTGAAAAGGTGCCTACAATTAGCTCCTTAGCCATAAGTCTAAGAAAGCAGAACTTGTTGAAAATATGAAGAATAAAGCCAGTCCCCTCCTGGCCAACATAGTGAGACCCTGTCTCAAAATGAAAGGAAAGAAAAGGCTAAGAACAGACATAGCTCAGCGGTAGAAGGCCCTGTGCCCGATCCCAGTCTCACCAAAAACAGACCCAGAAGAATGAGATGGAAGGAGGTGAAATCGCCCATCCACCCCAAGTGCCCACGTCTGGCATGGATGGCACAGGGCTCCACTGTCCCCAAACACTACAACATCCAAGGCACAGGACAACCAGGTCAAGTTCAGAGTCCCCGCAGCCTCCGAGGGGTCCCCCAAACACACCCCAAGACACAGCGTCCTGTATGGCGTGGACACCGGGGTGCGCCTCTGTCCCTGGCACCTGGCGCATGGGAGACGGCTGCTGAACGAATGAACTAGTGAGAATGGACGCTCTGGAGCCAGCCTGGGTGGGCCAGCAAGGCGCCTTCCACAGGCCACACAGCCTGAAGACAGGCAGCCAGACGGCGTGTCAGCTAGTCTCAGCTCAAAATCGTTCTGCCTTGTGTTGGATGCTGACATTCAGAGACAGCACTGTCCCAGAAGCCAACACCAGCATGCACATCTGAGCTGGGACACCAGTGAGAAAGCTGGAGACCAAGAGCAAGGGGACCCAGAAGACCTAAGAGGCTGGACAGGTGTCAGACCCAGCACGGGGAGCTGCACAGTGTCCACCCCCGGATTTACCCACACCAGGACTTGAGTCCAAATACCGGAAATGGTGAGTAATACAAGCAGTGGGGACCAGGATGGGGAGTGAGCCAGCTGAAGAGCTCCCCAGGTGAATCTTCGTCCCTGCTCTGTACTTTCCGGGAGGCCACAGCAGGCTCCGCAGGGACAGCAGGTAGATTTTAGGGCTCACTAGGTACAGAAACTTTCTGGAGAAAAAAAAGATCAGGTGTGAGGGAAAATCAAGTGTGTGGCTGTGGAGAGCAGCGGCTCCCAGCCCTCTAGTGCTTAAGCAGGGCATCGAGACAGGCGACCCGGACACGGAGCTCACGGGCACTGCCGAGGTGCAGCCGCCCAGCCTGCGGTGTTCACGGGTCCACAGCAGGGCTGCGGTTCTCTGGGACCCCATGCGCACACAGAGCTCTGGGGGCTGCTTAGGCGGCAGGGGACTCCCAGGGAGGAACAGCCCCAACGCACTGCTGACGCCGCTGTAGTCACACCCACCGCCACCTGTCTCTAAGAGGAAATGACAAGGTCAAGAGTCTGGTTAGGAAAGGAGATGATGAAGAATGCAGACGTCCACCCATCGTGCTGAACTGATAAAGGCTGGAATCACAAAATGTCCCGGCCCTCGACCCACAGATGCATCACAACCAACTCGGGAGCTGGATTAGGTTAAATTTTGTCAAAACAGAGAAGCCCAATGGTAACTGTCCCTCCTGTTAGGGCTGCCCAGCAAAGCACTGTCTGCCCAGAGGCAGCCACCGCCCTCCCACCCACCACCTTCACCATGCCGCCC